TTGAACGATTAGAACTCTGACTTACCATCCCCGTTTGCGTTGTTATTTACTGATATTGTCGAAATAGTCCCACAGAGCACATTTCAAACAAAACAACTGAATGGCGAACAAGCGCGTTTCCAGAGATTCGTATTCATGCCAATACAAGTCAAGACAATTTTATTCTCAAGCAGTGATATATATTGAGATGTATATACTTTATATAGCATACTGTAAAACTTTGACTAATACATTCACCACCAGGCCGGGGTCAGACGACAGTGTGACGGAGGCTAACACTGCTGTCGACTGGGAATCAAGTTTATACCGCGGAGGTTTGCGCAGTCCTTGCGAGATTATACTTCAAAATGGAGACGATCAGTGGTTCGTCAAACATGGTGGAATGCACTCTTGCGACCCGATCTGCATTCATTCGGTAGTAGGGCTTACGACGTTGTCCCCTCCATCTTGAAAACAGACGGAGGAAGCCCGTCCAGTTCTGCTGCTTTTCCTTTCCTTAGAGCTTAAACGCAAGATCGCGGGAGCACATGACAGCCAATAAATCGCGCGCTTTCCAACTACCATGAGGTGTCGGTTGATTCAACTACCTGGATCTCGGACTTCGAGTGTGCTAGCGACTGTCATCCTTGGTGAAACAACGGATGATTCGCATGAAGTCTCTAAGCGAAACCGATGATCTGGAGATCATTGTGTTGAAAAGCAAGACCTTTTCGATAGGCGCCATCCAATCGACTACTCCTAACAAACAAAGGACGCAGTTCTGTAATCAATCCTAGCGTTCAGATATCTGGGCTCTATTGTACTACCGAGTCGTCAGACGAAGGGCGATATTATTCTGTGTTGACTGCAAAAGAAGAACCGTTCTACGGCTTTGCAGATCACTGAGGACTAGCGAGGAGATTAGTCTCCGAACCAACCTGCCATTCACCCCATCCCTGCATAACGCTAACAAACCTAGTCATTTAGACCTCCAACCATTAGTGCCTCTGATACATCGCAAAAGTGAAATGGTGAAACTGGATCTCTAGCGATATGGTCCGGTGAACGTAGAGAAATGATGCATTACCTTGCGACGACAATGCCCGCAATAGTTCAGCCATGCACCACACAGACCAACCTCCACTCTAACGAAACAAAGTTTTGCCCTGACGCTATGTGCCGAAAGAGGCGTCGTGGTGGCCAGTTGAAGACCTGGAACAGTAACGTGAAATCCGCCTTATCTTCTGGCAGATAGCCGCATAAAATGACTGGTTGTTAATTCCATAAGAAAATTCACCTGTCTTGTCCTGAAACTCCTGCTGAAATTCCATTCATGTGAAAACTATGGAGCCACCGGAAGACTCAGTATGATCGGGGGTGGGGTTGTGCTAACCGAAGGCTCTGGTTGTGAATTTACCAAGAAAATTCACTTCCTTCGACCAGGGCAGTATTCCGCCAACTTGCAAATAAAGAACTTTTTCATAAAGATTATTGTACGGTGATTTGTTAGGCACACAGTGTGGACGTAAACAGATCGGAAATATATGAATATACAGTTGGATAGATTACTCCACTTTTTACGAAGACTCTAGTCTAATACTCAACCTGACGAACTAGGAGAATGGATTGTTTGACTTTAATCCTTCGACCTTCCAAGCATGATTAGATCTTCCGATCAATAAAACCCACTGTGTAGCTCTTAGGGCCCCATAGGCGCACTGGACATCACACCAGGATAAAGTGCATCCTCTCTGAGATGACCGCATACATATCCAAGGCTCGAGCTACGTCCGCTGAACACAAACAATTTAAGCGATGATGTTTCATTTAACTAGACAGCTGCCATACGAGACGCAACTGTAATCAGTTCCGCCGCCCAGTTTAGACCTCCAGTTTGAGTACGGAACATATCGGTCGCCTACGGCGCATCGACTGTTTATAGATCCAGGCTTGGCATGGATCCAACGAGGATGAGTAGGTTAGTGATAGAGAGATAAGTCGTCTTCCCAAATCCCCAAAAGGGGAACACAATCGAGTGCCATCGGGGCTTCTTGGGGTTGCGCACCTTCAAAATGCAGTGATGCTACAAGATGGGATTTCGTCTCTCCCGACTCTGATCCTTGATGGTCAAGAATTAGTTACAATAAATCGTTCTTAGGCAGCTGCATGACAAATGACGGTACTGTATTCCAGGAAGTAATCACCCGCATTTTCGACGCTCGAGCAGCGTACGGAGGATTTAAACACACGTGGCGGTTACGTGATGT